TCTTGCTGGATTCGATCTTGTCTCTGTTGCTGTTGTTGCTCTTGTTTCTGTTCCTGCTTTTGTTGAAGCCTCTGATCTTTCTGTTGCTGTTCTTGCAGCCTCCGTTTTTGTTGTTGCTTCCACTCCTTACGACCTTCTTGCCGCTGTTTTCGTTGTTCGTGCTCGAACCTCATGTCTTCCTGTTCCTGTCCTTGTTGAAGATGGCCTTGTTTTCTTTGCTGTTCTTGCTGAAGCCGATCTTGTCTTTGTTGCCCTCCTCGATGGAATCTAAGGTCTTGCTGAAATCGACTCTGTTTCCGTTGCTGTCCTTGTTGAAATTGATCTTGTCTCTCTAGCTGTTCTTGCTGAAATCGATCTTGTTTCGCTTGCTGCCCTTGTTGCAGCCGATCTTGTTTCGTTTCCCGTTCTTGCCCAAACCTCAGATCTTTTTGTTGCCCTCCTTGCTGGACTCGATCATGTCTCTGTAGCTTTCTTTGCTGGAGCCTTAGGTCTTGCTGTAGCCAATCTTGTTTTTGCTGCTGTGCTTGCTGGATTCGATATTCTTTCTGTTGCTGTTCTTGCAGCCTCCGCTTTTGTTGTTCCTCCCACTCTTTACGACCTTGTTGCCGATGTTCTTGCTGTTCTTGCTGGAACCTCAAGTCTTCCTGTTGCTGTCCTCGTTGAAGACGGTCTTGTCTCTTTTGCTGTTCTTGTTGAGACCTCAGATTTTCTTGTTGCTGTTCTTGCTGAAGCCGATCTTTTCTTTGTTGCTGTCCTCGACGGAGTCTAAGGTCTTGCTGAAATCGATCCTGTCTCTGTTGCTTGTCTTGCTGCAGCCAATCTTGTTTCGTTTCCCGTTCTTGCCTGAGCCTCAAATCTTTTTGTTGCTGTCCGTACTGGAATCCCACGTTTTGTTGCAGTTGATCTTGTCTCCATTGCTGTCGTTGTTGGAGCCTCAGATCTTGCTCTAGCCAATCTTGATTTTGTTGCCGTCTTTGCTGGACTCGATCATGCCTCTGTTGCTGTCCTTTCTGGAGCCTCAGATCTTGCTGTTGTTTTTCTTGTTGTTGCTCCAGTTGTTGTTGTACCAGTTTTTGTTGCAGCTGAGGTTTCTCTTGCTGCTGCAATTCATGTACTTCTTGTTCTTTTTGTCCTTTGTGTCGCAACCGTTTTGGGCTTAGTCGTTGTTCTACTGACTGTAATTCTTGTACTACTTGTTGACGTCGATTTTGCCACCGATCTTCTTGTGCGCATAGCTGTTCTTGTTGCTCGGATAACAGATCTGATTCCTGCAACAGTTGCTGATGTCGCTCCTGCCACTGTTGCTGTCCCTGTAGTTGCTGTTTATATCTTTTTTCTTGCTGTAGTTGTCGTCGGCGTAGTTGTTGTTGCCATTGCCGTCGCTGTATTTGCCGTCCCTGTAGGTCTCGTTGTTGAGATTGTTTCGGCTCTTGTTGGCGGTGCTGATGATATTGGTGATCGTCATGATTCTGTTGCTGCGGCATTTTTTCCATTGTGTAAGCGCTAAAATGCAATTACTTATACTATTAAGTTCATTTCACATATTCTCGTGCTTTCATTTTTTGTTAATAAAACTATTCGATAGCTAAAAAATTAATGTATCATTAAGACACAGATAACTGGCAGGTAAAGAACATCAGTAAATATGTATAACAAGTAAATGCTTGGACGAAGAGTGAATAACTGGCCAATTAATATTAATTTTAGATCTGAAGTACTGCCAAACTGTTCACACTTAATTTTGTAACTGCATTAAAAAAAACGGAATAATGCTTGAGATATCTATGGTAAAGTACGCTAAATCAGGCAAGATAATAAAGCCCATCACTAAACACTGTCAAGCTCCCACTCTGAAAACCAACCACCCCTCACTCCACATTATGCAACACTGACTTACAGCAAAGCAAATCACAGCGCAACGCATCACTCACTCTACGTTTTTGCTTGCTGAATTGCACGTAGACGTTGGCGCCAAAATGGGTATAAGAAACAGTGTTGGATAATCGATCCCTCTTGTAATGCGACTCCTAGACAGACGCTTTCTGCGCTCTCTGCCCCTCATCCTCACGTTGCCTACACACACGATCATACACACACTCACTACTCCCTCACACATATTTAGTCTCCATAGCTGGGAGGATGAAGTCTTTTCGACTTAATGCAGACGGTTATGAAATCATCTGCCATTAATACTGGCATACTGTCATCTCAGTATTGCTTTTCGATTAAAAAAAAAATTACGGAATAGTGCTTGAGATAATGCTTATGTGTGCAGTGTAGTGATGAAATATCATTTATTCATTAATACTGTAAACACACGGAATACTGTAACTTCCCAATCAAGCCAAATACTGTTGTACACTTACAAGAATCACATTATGCGGGTGACTTCTGTAATTGTCACATTTCTATATAGATGATTTAATCATTATTGTAACCTGAAAAATGAAGAATTTTTATTAAAAAAATTAGGGCTTCGTGAAATATAAAAATTGGTAGTGCATATATTTATGATTTTGGATGGATATAAAAAAAAAACTTGACTTGTAACTTCCGAATTAAAATTAAGGGTTGCAGCAAAAAGTAATTTTGAGAGTGTTTCAAACTCACTTGAAAGTTTGCTTTTTAGGAATGACCTCACAAAAGTGAAAATACGACCTTCTGTACATGTATGAGATTGAATGCAATCACATTCTTCTTAGTGTAGTTGATAAGGACATTCGGCATTTGTAAAATATAAGAAAAATTATTAAGTCCAATCATTGCAAGTGTCATCCTCCCTCATGCATAATTTGGTTTGGGATGTTGACAAAGTATACTGTAACCATATTTTATAATAATAATTTTTAAAGAGATCAAGAACTGCATACACTGCTAAGTTGCTGTGATTTAATTTTTTACTGGTGCATAGATTAATCAAGAGAATTTATTTGCAGTTACTTGAGTGAAAAATGACATAATATTGATTTTTTAGGTTTTGACTGAAACCGGAATCAATCACAATGAAAATTGACCTTTGAAAGATTTTTTACAAAAGAGTATGCCAGCTTTCAAGTTTTCGTAAGGTTAATTCCGTTTCTACTAGAAAGTAGTCGTCAGCTCAATATTAATAAGTTACTGTTCTAATTAAAAGAAATAACTGTGATGCAGGGCATATATCGGGGCACCAGTTGATACAGTAGTTGATTATCATCAACAAGTCATGATATTTCTCTGATAACTAAGAATGCTTTTCATAACGAAAGCTCATTTTTATCAGTATAATAATGTCAAAGATTTGAAGATGGTGTTAATTGGATTTACACTGAGTAATAATGGTTTATTTGCGTCGATGCTATTGTTTGACTTTGTAGCAATGATGTAAATATATTTTTCCATCGAATAACTATCAATCATTACATGAAATAAGTGAGAACCAACTAATTGAAGGATGAATGAGTTGCGGAATCTGCAATTTCAATGGAATAAATTGGTAGTGATTATAAGACAGACAAACCAGTAACAAGTACAGTGTAAGAAGCCAAGTAAATTCTTCAGAAGTAGTATTAGGTCACGGCTGACTTCGTGAACCGCTTTTTACTATTTTCATGTCATCAAATCACATAGGAAATGAAAAAATTTTTAATTGCGATAAAGAGTAGTGCAATGAACGAATTCCTTCTTTTCTTATTTGCGTATTTTCATTCCATTTTTTGTTCTCGCATTTTCTCTGAGCAAATTGGCATTTTTTGTTAGTCATCAACACGCGCATCGCGTACCATCGCTGCCTGCAGACGTTGCAGCCAGCTAATAATTATAAAATGAATAAATTAACTTTTGATTCTTACTTAAATTTCTCTGTCAATACGTATGCGTAATATTTGAAGTTTAAATCATTGTAATTTACAATAAAATTTGGTATCCAATGATTTTAATAAATGAAAAAAACGATAATTTTGTAATTCTTTTCACTTCATATATAATATCACTATATATACTGCCATATATATTATCATATAATGATCATGGCAGATTTGCAGTAATAACTTGTTGTCTCATTTCTTAGTGTTCATTATACAGTTATCAGTAGTTCTCTAATTTCATTTTTATTGCTGACCGTTAATTGAAATTTTTATTTTATGCATCTTTCTTACACAAACTAAACCTCAGTAACGGTCTTTTTTTTCTATCTTTGTCTTTCTAAATGTTTTCAAATTGTTCTTCGGATAAATCGTTTGGTACTAGCAAAAAAAAACAATGTAGAGTCTACTTAAAACTTATGTAACTTACATTCATTCATTTTTTTAATCAGTTATCGATTTGAATAAAATAAGTTTCCATTTATTATTACAAAAAAATAAGCTTGAATGAATAAATAATAAATTTAAAAATAGTATTTTGGCCAAAGAGTGACGCATGGAACTAATTAATTCATGAAAATTCATTGAAATATTTAATAACTGTTATTTTTTTTAAATTAGAACTGAATGAAATTTCCAATTTTATGGAAAAAATTTTTTGGTACTATTTTAAATAAAAAAATTATCATTTCCTTCAAGGTAAAAACTCTGCTCATTGCGCGGGCCACGATAAGTTGTACCGGTCCGAGATATAAACATCAAAACTGTAGCCGATTAATGAAAAAAACAATCCTTTACTTTAATATTGTTGGAATTGTTTGTTTCTGTAAATTTAGATCTTTTTACTTTCCTCTCTTTGCAGATTCATTTCGTACGCTTTGCAATGCTAAGGTTATCATATACAACGACCTTGCTGCTGTAATTCATAAAAAGATGAGCTTAGAAGATATGAGTGTTTGCTGAATATAAAATAAATTTAATTATTCCAAAAAGCACTCAAAATTTCTTCTATCATGTAATTATCGAGTACTAAAAGCACTTATATTGATAAAAGTGAATAGAATTGTAATGCCAGAGATGGAATTGGCAGTATTATTTTGATAACAATGTAATAATTATAAAAGTTTCAATCTATCCATAAACACTGAAACTTTGTGCATCTAATGCAAAATTTTTTCAAGTTTTACTCTGTCACTTTCACCTTAAAAAATACTTTATAATGCCTGTTCAAATTTCTTTGAAAATGGAAAAAAAAGACCAATTTGTTGACATTTGACTATTTGATGCACTTTTTAATAGACTTTCTTCAG